AAATTTCCATGTTTCAAAACTGAAACTAAATTTATAAATTTAATTATAAAAATTAAACGAAAAATCCATAGTCTCGTTCTATTGTCAAGCGATCTTAGGAATAAACTTTCTAAGAAATTTGCTTAATTTATAAGCGCAGACAGTATTGATATTATGAGTTTTTTAGGTTAAGGAAAAATTGAGTCAAGTTCAATTTTTTTAATTAAATTTATAAATTTAGTTTCAGTTTGGAAACATACGGAATTTGCTGTGTCGCGTTGGCAAGATATTTTTTTAAAAAGAAAATAATTATAATACATATATATATATATATATATGTTTTTGAGTAAGTTTAAAGAAAGTTTGTGGTAGATGGCGCTGTGGTGACATGTAGACTAGGTTACATTTGTCATTCGTGTATAATTGTGGCTAGTGTGTCTTCAATGTTTAACGTGTGTAGTAGTGAGTTAACGGAGGAAGCTCCGTTTAACAACGACAGGATATTCAGATCCTAAGCAGGCATATACGATTTTTATATGCTACTGTTTATCGTTGAATTTCTAAGACAAGATTCGTGACACCACAAAATATGGATCGAGGAAGACCAAGTTCCACACGTATAAAGCAAGTTGCCAAAACGTTTTGAATTTACAGGTTTCCTTCTCCTATCTCGGTTGCCATTCGAGGCTATAGGCCCAGTCTGTCCTGCTATTTGCCCACAGCTATCGACAGAAGAGCTGGATTCATACTTTTCCTACGGGTATTTAAACGCAAGGGAATGTAACGTTGGCGCTGTTCACCATTACTTTAGATATGACTCAGAGCTGACCTCCATTCCATAAGCTCCTGCTCTTTCAAAAGGTTTTTTGGTCATCTCCTGGAGTTCAATGTTACTACCTGCTATGAGGTCTATGACATCTGCAAAACGTACGTTACAGACGGGTCTGCCACCGATAAAGATTGAAAGATCATGGCCGTTCAAGATTGCTTGCACGGTTCTCTCTAGAAATAGGTTGAACAATGTGGGTGAAAGAACGCATCGATGTCGCACGCTGACAGTTGTCCGGAAGAATCCTCCCATTTGTTTACCCAGAAGATCTGCGCTGGTGACATCTTTATATAGGGCTTGAATGACTTGGATAATTCTGTTATCTATATTGAACTCTCTAAGAATTTGCCAAAGATCGTCATGCCATATACAATGTAATGCTTTCTTGAAATCAACAAAGTTGTGGAACATGTGCTTCTGGTGTTTCTCAACGAGGATCCGATAATTAAAGATATATTCCATTGTACTTTGCCCGGTTCTAAAACCTGCTTGTTCCTCTGATTGCAGTTCTTCAACCTTGGATTTAAAAGCTTTTAAAAACTGGACCATTCCTCCAGTGAATCCCCATTCATGCTAATGTTGACAAAGGTGTTACTATTTGTGCTATTCACCATTACTTTGGATTTCTAGGAGCTGACCTCCATTCCATTTTTCTTTCAAAAAGTTTTTTGGTCATCTCCTGGAGTTCATTGTTACTACCTGCTATGAGGTCTATGACATCTGCAAAACGTACGTTACAGACGGGTCTGCCACCGATAAAGATTGAAAGATCATGGCCGTTCAAGATTGCTTGCACGGTTCTCTCTAGAAATAGGTTCAACAATGTGGGTGAAAGAACGCATCGATGTCGTACGCCGACAGTTGTCCGGAAAAATCCTCCCATTTTTTCCCAGAAGAACTGCGCTGGTACTATCTTTATATAAGGACTGGATGATTTAGATAAATCTCTTATCTACATTGAATTCTCTAACGATTTGCCATAGTTTGGCGTAGTTTGCACTCATTACAAGGCCCTACAGACTGTGCAAGACCATGATGCAAGGCACCTGCATCCGAATCCGCCCTAGGATTACAAAAGTCAAGGGGATGGTGATGATGAATGTAATGAACTCGACTGGAATTCGAACACGGATCTCCTATTCCCCAATTCCAGATGCTATCAATTGCTCCATCGTATGCGTGTGTGCATATATTTGATACAATAATTATTATTTTACATTGCTATTTGGCACTTTATTGAAAAAATTCTGTTCAACTTGACATAAGTTAATTATATAATTTTACGTATACGAATATGTGCCATTAATACCACTGCCACACTCTCTCTCTCTCCATCCCTCCCCCTCTCTCTTTCTCTCTCTCAATAGATAGATAGATAGATAGATAGATAGATAGATAGAAATGAACACTTAGAAAGAAAGAAAGAAAAAAAGAACACATAGATAGATAGATAGATAGATAGAAATGAACACTTAGAAAGAAAGAAAGAAAGAAAGAAAGAAAGAAAGAAAGAAAGAACACATAGATAGATAGATAGATAGATAGATAGCGGCTCGGATTGAGAAATCGTAGAGCCTAGTTCGAATTCTTGTCTCATTAGGTTCTAATACCCTTGGGAAATGTATGAATCTTATTCCCCCTCCAACTATGGGTAAATAGCAGGACAGACTGGTGTTCTGTAGATTTGGATTGCAAGGACATTGGTTGTGTCTAGTGTTGAGCATCCAAAATTTACACTGTATTCAGTTCACGAGCAACTACTCCATAGCGAGGTACCAATGCATATGTATTAACAAAGCTGATATTATGCGAATAATCTGTTGGGTATGGAGGATTTGTTGGGCATTGGCGATGTGACTTCTCCACATGCGTCAATGAGTCAATAGTTCAAGAGGTTGGATAGTTTTTTTAAATTCTTGATCTAAGCCTCGTCGATAATCTGATAATTTTTTTTTTTCTAAATTTAAGAGGGCGGCGTTAACCTCGCCTTTAACTGAGAAATCAGGGTTGATAAAACTTTGAATGATCTTGACTGTCTTATGCACTTGGTGGAACTGACGATAAACAAGGAAAATGTAAAAAAAATGGATGGCATATTCTCGGTAAACAGTGGGTCAAAATGGACACAAACAAATTTACGCCTGAAGAAAACTTAGAAATTTGTCTCCCGTTTACAAATCTTTTCCCAATAATTAGTATCTTATAAAATGAGTGACATCCCATTCTTCCCACAAAATTAGGAAAAAAGTCTTTTTACATGAAAGATAATCGGCATTGCTCAGGCAAAATTACTTTTCCTTGTTCACCTTTTCTATCTATCTATCTATCTATCTATCTATCCTCCCCCCCTCTCTCTCTCTCTCTCTATATATATATATATATATATATATATATATATATATATAAGCGTTTCCTTGAAACTCATTGATTTGATTACGCGTTTCGCCTTTCTAGGCTTCGAAAATAAATAAAGAAATGTGTCTGTGGGTTTATGCTTAATGCGATACATGTTATATTTGTACTAATATTACAAAACAAATACACACACACACACATATATATATATATATATATATATATATATATATATATATATATATATATACGAGCTTTTACCAATTGAGCCACAGAGGAGCGTTTCTGGTTAGCAGGGTCGATTTTACTGTTTTTAAAATCATGGAGAAGTGTGTTTAAATTACTGAATATAATATATTAATATATATATATATATATATATATATATATATATATATATATATATATATATATATATAAATAAATCCTAGTGAACCAGGAACAATCTAACTAGATTTCACCTAAATTGCTTACACTGAAGATCCATTTAGATGAAGCCTAGGTTGGTAGGTAGTTCTCGGCTCATTAGAATTTTTTATACTCTGCTCTACTCAGTGTATTGAGGACTTTACGTCCTTTCTTATTTACTCGATTCGGTTTTTTTTTCACCTTGGAGTAGAAATTACGACATTGACTGATTTTTTTTGGCCTATTCGGATGTTTTTAGTCTTTTCTTTTTTTCCATTTTTTTTCCCCAGATACCAATTTGTTTTAATATATTTTTATTGGCAAATTGAACCATCTGTTTTTTTTTTACACCAATCAAATATACAGATTGAAATAATAATATATATATATATATATATATATATATATATATATATATATATATATATATATACAGGATTCTGAAATCGGATGCCAAGAGAAACCAACAAACCAATACACCTGGCTCTGCTATTGCTGAGAATGTAATAAATAGCAGGAATGTGTGCTTAATTTTAGTGGTGACCGTTTTTTGATTTTATCTAAGTCCCACTCCACATTTCATTTCAAGGTTTTAGAGTCCTTGTATATCAGATCCTGTGGGCCTTCCCTTTGTAAACAGAGCGAATGCTTATTGGGTTTGAGTGTTATTAGACTATAGTTTTCTTGAAATTCATATTTTTCCTTTGATTCGTTATATTAATTTAATGTACACGCTGATATATATTTTATAACCCAGAAAATAAACTTAATAAGGCTTGGACGAAACCGATTGTTCATTTTTTTAGCTTTTTAAAAATGCCATATAAATTCTTGCCTATTCCTAGCTATCGATATATATATATATATATATATATATATATATATATATATATATATATATATATATATATATTACATTAACTATTATTTTTGTGATTGCCCATACTAGTAAAGTAATAAAAATATGTACGATTAATAAATACAATCCATTAATTCTTTAGAAAATATATATATATATATATATATATATATATATATATATATATATATATATATATATATGGAGAGATAGAGAGAGAGAGAGAGAGGAAGCGTGATAGTGAGACAGAGGAGACAGACTGCTTGAAAAACTTCACATTTTTATATAAAATAAAACTAGTTCAATATTACTAATTTAGCAACAAATTTAGCAACAAATGATGAATATATGTCATTTACTGTTGACCATTATCAGTCAAATCCATTTTCCCGAAGTGGCACTTTCGGAGAATCGAAAACTATTCACGTAATTGGCGAGATCAGACGAGATCTCGCATTCCCTTAGCAAACGTTCGAGTTTCGAGAAATCAGGAAAATATATTCTTCTCAGTTCACAACCCGTTCTCTATGGTGATGCCATCCTTTCCGGTCATGTCTTCAACTCTGGAAAATGTTTTCTTCCTCCAACCAATCAACTTGTTTCGATTTCTCAGTTAATCTCGTCTTAACTCTCGCTCTTTCTCGTTTCTCCTCAATTCTTTCACGCGTCTTCCTCCTCTCTTTCTCTCGGTTTCCATGTCATTCGTAAGCATTATCTAACCGATTTGAAAAGATTACTGTTAAGCTATTAAACTGAAGTATCTTTCATTTGTAACACCTTTCTACTGCTGTCTTTACTCACGTAGGAAAACATGGCTCTCCACAGCTTTTCTTTAATATATGTGAATTGTCATGATGAAAGACGGTTCAATGGCTTCTCGTTGCTTTGAAATCAAAATATTCCTAACTTCCATGTAATTCTATAGAGTCTATTGTACCCGACTATTTAATTTTTGTTTGTGGGTGAGGATGAAATGAACACAGAATACTGGGTCTGAATTCGAACCCGGCTCGTCGATTTCACATTTCGCGCATACCTAATTCTCAACATTACAAGACTCGTTCACACACTACCTTCCTTTTAGATAGCATATTAGTAGCAATTTGTTTTTTTTTTACGTGACGTATTCCATTCATGGCTAATCCTGGATATGTCTATAGACTACATCCAGCAGCAAGGCTTCTAAGAGGTTTTGAGGGGCGTGGAACCATCTCTTAATTGCTGGTGTTCCCAGGTCCACCCAGCCCAAGGGGGCCATCACCTTCTAGGGTCCCAGCTATGGGCAAATAGTGTACCACCAAACAAAAATCAACAGTACATTTTTATAACAAAATTAGTAACAAAACATTTTTATAACAAAATATTAAGAAAACATATTTCACCTAAGATAAAAAGCAGATAATTTCCTATGACCCCCCACAAAAGTAATTATTGCCCTTGGCGCAGTCAAGTGCATTATTGGAGTCCAAGATGGCCACTTTACCATCAAAGTGATTAGCTAATCGATAAACATTATCTGCAACAATCCAGGATTAGCTTCCCTGATAGCTATAATCTTTAAATATTCAAATGTAATGTCAATCGACATTTTCTGAGCCTTGATTTTGATCCCTGTCCTTCTCTATATCCTTTCCTCAAACACCCCCCCTCTTTATTCTTGCTCTCATTCTCTGTAACCCTTTGCGTGCTAGTGGCACTGCTGCCTTGCTTGGGGTGATATTGTAGTGGACCGTGGCTGTAATGTTGCTGAGTAGAAGTAGATGAACACATGTGGGGTTAAGATTTTCCTGCTAGCCGGTCCAACTACATGAGAAAGTTGGACTTTAATTAAGTCCAAAGAAAACAAAGAAAAACAAACACAAAGTCGATAAATATATGTATACAAATATATATATTAATAACAAGTTACAGGGACAGTTACAATGGACAGAGTGTGTGTGTGAATATTATATATATATATATGTGTGTGTGTGTGTGTGTGTGTGTGTGTGTGTGTGTGTGTGTGTTCGTACGTACGTGTATTGTGCTTAGCGTGTTCCCAACATTTGTGAAAACGCTTTCTCTGTGAGCGTTCACATCTGCGAGATGGTAAGGCTGAAAGCCTGAGGAAAAAGAGGAAGAGGCGAAGTGTCAGTGACTATTTATAGCCAGGGAAGAGAGACCCCTGGTGAAAGGGTTAACGAACTAAAGGAGGAGTTAACTCCGACAATATGCTTAAAAAAGATTAGCTTTTCGTAGAACACTAGTTCTGCTGTATCAAGACTCTTTTTCATCTGCAAGGAAATTATCCAGTATGTATTGTCATATACGAGGATATTACATAGCAGTTCAGCACTTTTTTCTTTGTTTCTACTGAAGTTTTCTTATTTCTTAATACATTCTTTAGCTTTTGGAAGGCACCTTTCACTATTCAAAAATACTTTTTAAAAGCTTCCAGATATGTAAATGTCTGTATATGCTTGATTTGACATCTCCGATAAGTAGCTCGCATCCACCAGGGACATCCCTGTTCCAACCACCCTTTTTATTAGATATTCTTGAAACTTTCATTAATTTATCAATTTATTATAGGAAATGTATTCAATAAGAGGAATGGTAAGAATAAGAATGTCCTTAAAGGATTTTGCTCCGGAATGTAATAAATGTTAGGGTTAGGGTTTGGGTTAGGGTTAGATTTCGTATTAGGCTTATCCAAATTGACAGCTAAAATATTTTAATAAAAAGTAATTCGTTTCTCTGCAAACGGTACAGCGCCATGGTACTGATGATTCTGACTTTTGTAAGCGCCCATCAAATTTGAAGATAGGACTAAGACAATTGCTTAAGACGTGGGACCTGGAAAGTCAGACCCAGATAGAACGATCTATTTCTTTCAACTCTTCCATGATGGCTTTTTGTTTTGTAATTCAAATATTTAAAAACCTTAATCTTAATAGATCCATTTTCTTTTGTAACACACACGCGCACAGATCAATTTGCACACAGAAAAACACCATGAAAGGCCATCCACTGACACAAACACACACATACAGACATATCCTGAAAAATTAATTTCGGTTGAGCTCTATGGGGGAGGAAGTGTGGGTTTGTAAACAGTAAACGGTAAAGCGAATCGAGTCGTCTCAGTCACTGTGTGTTTATCTAAAAATAAATACGCTAAAATTCACCTTCATCCATTCCGTGCGCCAACGGCTTATTGGTAGAATCTCCGCCTGACACCAATTCAGTCGAGTTTCGGTCCTAGCTAGAGGCAACCGGACGTCTAGCCACACTGAAGAGCTGTGATACAGCGGAACAGTCTGTCTGTGGATTATAATATATAAAGTGGATGACAATATATATATATATATATATATAAAGTGGACATTGAAGTTAACACCCTTTTTGTACATGTGAATGATGCTATCATATTTGTCTTATTAACGAACATGTTACGGATAGATTTTGGTAGGTCTCTAGGTGTATTTAAATGGTATCAGTTTGAGCTATGAACATAGAGATGTAACGTGAGTCCTCTTGTTAAACATGCTGTAGTCTATCCAATATAATTATTTGCAAATTTGAATTGGTCAGGAACACAACTCCTTAAAGGACATGTAAATTCGTAAATAATAATGGTTCTCAGTTATGTGGATCTTGCAGATGAATTATTATTCACGATGTAGTTGGCAGGTTTAAGTTTTCTGTAATAAATAATTGATTCAATTTTATTATTTTCTTTGACTGGAGGTGTGCATTATTTCTTTATCTCTTACAAACATATATTTTACAGCCCTAATACACTATAAATATATATATTAAAAAGAAGAGATATCGTAAACGTTTTTGGCTGTAATGTGGATTTTTCTTAAAAAATATTATGCTTTATTTTCCATGATTTTACTACACGAGTTTCTGGTCTCGCGACCATCATCAGGTAAAGGGTGGAGATTTCCAAATATTTAATTTTTTTTCTACTTTATGTTTTCCGATGTTAAGTATTCTCGATATTAGACATTCTCTTTTTTGTGTTAGTAATCCGAATATCTTTCAGTTCATGAAAGACATTCGGATTACTAACCTCTTCCTTTTATGTATATATATATATATATATATATATATATATATATGTGTGTGTGTGTGTGTGTGTGTGTGTGTGTGTGTGTGTGTGTGTGTTTTGAACAGTAAAAAATATTAAGAACTTAAAATCTTCAGACACACTGGGGTGTATATTAATATTCTTTCGTTTTTATTATTTCATTTCATTATCTAAATTTTTCTGCTTGTTAGTAGCAGCGAACTACAGAAATGAATGTCTTGCTGGAGAAAATGAACTTTTGTCTGTAGTCTTCATTTGTTTTTTTTTTTTTTTTTTTTTGTTTTTTTTTTAACGTGAATTTTGGTCAGTTGTTGGTGTGTTGGTCAAACAGTCTCTTTTAAGTTGTTATTTAAGATAAGAGCTGGATGAATTCATGCTTTTTTTTAGTAGATATATATATATATATATATATATATATATATATATATATATATATACGAAGAAAGCTAATAAAGTGTGATCAACAGACAACTTGCCAGAGGACCTAATACCTTGCATAAGAAAACATTGCTAACATAGAAAAACCAAGAAAACACCTACCCCCGCAATAAATGAACATCCTCGACGTCTAGACAGCCTAGGTAAAAAAAAAATATCTCTCTTCTCTCTCTCTCTCTCTCTCTATATATATATATATATATATATATATATATATATATAAATTGCAGTTTTGTTTCAACACTACAGCTGTCTTATCAAGTGATGGGGGTGATCGGAAAATATTTTTTATTATTTTGCAATCAACACCATCATTTGTTAATTTTTAGTAGCGTTGAAACAAAACTGCAATTTTTGTAGTGATGTTATAACATGCATATGTTATAATTTTGAAAATATATATATATATATATATATATATATATATATATATATATATTACTTGGGGTTATTTTAATGGATACCTATATTTGAGTAGATGCTCTGTTTATTTATTAATACACAAATATCGATATCCATTTAAACACGTAGATTAATAAATGAAAAATACATTTTACTATATATATATATATATATATATATATATATATATATATATATAATTATTTATTCGAAAATGATAACATAAATATGTTATAAAATCACTACAAAAATAGCCATTTTGTTTCAACGCCTCTGGTGTCTTATCAAGTGATGGTGTTTAATGTAGAATAAAGGGTTTTAAAAGGTTCAAATCAATTAACCACCTCTCGTAAGGGGAAATGCTGTTACATAAGCTGGAATGACCAATCAAAATAGAATATATATATATATGTGTGTGTGTATGTGTATGTGTGTGTGGGTGTGTGAAAAGTGTATATATATATATATATATATTTATATATATAATCATTTATATATTATATGCGCGGTACTTATTAGAAAGCGCTCACTATCAGAGATAAAGCTAACATATTTGGTTTGATTGATGTGAGTTTGTGACCCTGGGTTTCACGCTTTTGCGATCGTCAGACAAATTGATTCATTTTTTTTTTTAATTTGGGTTTATGTAGATTGCGTGTATTGGTGTTATTATGGAAGTGGGGGGGGATTGTCTTCGTGATGTCACTCATGCTAACGCAAACATAAATGCATGTCCGTACACCCGTTGAGGTACGCAGACACACATACACACCCGCTCGTTTTGGG